ACCGCGGATTTGGACCATCACCAGCGCAGTTTCCAGTCTCCGCTGGGTGCTCAGCTCTGCTCAGCTGTCCTGTGATGGGTCCCTCGTTGGCTCTCTCCCAGTTCCTGCAACAGAACTTCTTTCTCCAGGCTCCTCAAGTCCTCTGCTCAAGGCCCCCCCGATCCTCTGAGCCTCAGTGGTACTTTCTGTCACGGGCAGTGATCGCTGCCCAGCAGAGGGCGGTCTAAGGATTAGAGACGATGGCGCGGTGCCAGGAGTCGGAGGAGCTCACCGACAGTCCCGCCACAGTCGGGTTATGGTGGTTGTGGCCCATTCGCAGAAGGCGGTCCCATCACCAATGGCATAAACAGTTGCTTCCACATTTTTATTATCTCCCTTTTTATCTCCTCCTGCCCAGATCTATTAAATGAAATCTTATCCTTCTGGACAAATTCAGACACTGGGAGGAGCGTCTCTGTTCTCTCTGCACCTCCTCACCCCCTCCCACAGCGAGAGAGTTAGGGGGAAGGAACGGGCACAGGGCCTGCTTCTCTCTCGCCTCCTGGAGTGGCCGTCCCTGGGAAGCCAGACTTGGCCACACGCGGGAAGCTGCCTTCTCCGCACTGGAAGCTGTGAGGCCTCTTTCAGTGCTGGAGTCGGAGCGAATACTCTCAGCAGAATGAGTCAGGGGCTGAGTATCTGGTTCCTTCTTCCCAGCTGGTTACCAGTAGGGAAGGAAGGAACATGGGGTGGGATTAACCAGCTTCCCCAACCCCATCAGAAGCCACATTTCCCAGAACTTTCCAAGGTTAACTTTTCCATCCGTGCCTGGGCCCTGCACGCTCACACTTCCTCAGGGACAACGTGTGAGCAGTCATCCCTGTCTCTGTAGGCTCTTTCCTTATGGTATTTATATACATTTATAAAAATATAAAAAAATTAAAATTTGTATAAATGTAAGTATATTTATGTATTTATAGAAGATACTTTATATGTAACACCTCGTGTGTATACACACACACATACACAAGGTGTTATATATACGTACATACATCTTTCCTCTCTTAGCAAACCCCAAGCCCACCTGTGTACCAGGTCGCCCCTCCAGGCTGGTACACGGTCTGTCTGCACTTGTTCTCGCCGGTTCCTCACCTCCCGCCTCCTGCTTGCAGCTCCAACCCTCCAGCTGAAGGCCACCACTGGTCTCCTTGTGGCAAAACCCGGTGCTCATTTTTCGGTCCTCTTCTTACTCACTGAGCCTACAGCACTTGACACTGTTGGCCAAAGGCACTTGCTTGAAACCGTCAACTCCATCACTTCCTTTTCGGGTTTTCCTTTTGAGACCTGCTTGCCCTTGGGAAGCCTCTTTTTCCTAGTGTTGCCCCTTGGGTGCCGGCGCCCCTAGTGGGGCATCTGTCCCCTCCTCCTCCCACTCTCCCCCAAGTGCAGCCCAATCTCTCACCACCAGAGGGCACTCCCGGGCACCAGGACCACTAGCTGCTGTTGACCACCACGACTGTGTGTCCCAGAGGCACTGCGACCCAGCCGAAAACTGACCAGCCGCCCATCAGCCTTAGCAAGAGAGGAAGTGTGGGAGGGCCCGAGGCACCTCGCGGCCCCATCTGACCGGCTGTGCGGCCTCTACCCTTGTCGCCTCCACTGAAGCCCATGTGCCGGGGACAGCCTGCTGCGGTTCACCCAGAGGCCAGGTGCTCCCACACAGCCTGAGGGCTCGGTCAGCCAGTGTGTCCTAGTGAAGGACCCCCGGGGCCCATCCTGGCTGGGGTGGGTGCCCCCAATGCTGGCCAGCGTCTCCTGCCTCCCAGCCCACAGAGGCCCTGGGTCCCCGGAGCTCCTCACGCCTCTGCATCCCGGTGCCCAGAGCAGAGCAGAGGACCAGGCAGGTGCTCCACTGTTTAGTCTCACAAATGACCAGGCTCTGCAACTCAACAATGGGGCGACCTCGGTCTTCAGGTCTGTATCCATAAAATGGGCTGATGGTTTTCAATGAGTTAGAGCTCGCCAGGCGCTTGACTGGTGGCGGCACTCAGTAGGCACTGTTACTGATGGGGTGTAATCTGGGCTCTGTTTATCAGGCTGTGCAGAGGAGGGGCGACTTGGCTCCATGGAGCCAGTAGGGGGAGGGGGAGGGAAAGGAAGGGGCAGTGAGAGGGCAGTGTAAGGTGAACTCTGGGGAAACGGGTGGATAACATATCTTGGTTTAACCAAGAATAACTCCCATTTCTTTCCCCCAGGCTGTCCTGGGGCACGCATGTGCACACCTGTGTGCACACCTGTGTGCACACACGTGTGCATGTGTAAACGGCATGGCCTGCACCCTGGGGTTTTTGACGTCAGAAGTTTGGACACGAGTCTGTAAAAGGACATGGCTTGTTATTTACCTCCTTCGGCTCCTAGTTCCTCATTTACAAAGCAGGGCTTATAGGGCTGCTTTTATAGAGACGCCACAAGAACTGAGCTATGGTTGGAAAGACTTTTCTCAGCCTCCTTTTGGAAGGTGTTAGGTAAGGACGGAGCATCGTAGGGATCCTGCCACAAGCCAGACATACAGCCTCAAACACGCATCTCACTGAGGTTTTGAAACAGTTTAAGCCCTTTTCCCACTGGTTATCAAAGATGCCAGGAGAACCCTAAAATATAATGAACCATGATAAAAATGAGTGGAAACTGAGTCAAACATTGAGGCAAATGACAAACGTCATGACATACGGCTCTGTTATAAAACAGAGCAAAGGTCTGTGGCAGTTATTTCATTTCATACAATGATCACTTTGTGAATTATTTTCTCAGGTTAGAAACACTCCCAGTCCGTGTAATTCAGCGCACCCACTGAGGAGAACAGTACTGAGAGTTCTTAGAAAACTACAAATAGAGTTACCATACGATCCAGCAATCCTGCTCCTGGGCATATATTCAGAGAAAACTCTAATTTAAAAGGGTATGTGCACCCCAGTGTTCACAGCAACTCTGTTTACAACAGCCAAGACACGTCCTAAATGTCCATCGACAGGTGACTGGTTAAAGAAGCTGTGGTATATTTATACAGTGAAATACTACTCAGACATAAAAAGAATGAAATAAAGCCATCTGCAGCAACATGGATGGACCTAGAGATTATCACACTAAGTGAAGTAAGTCAGATAAAGACAAATCACCTGATATCACTTATACGTGGAATCTAAAGAAAATGACACGAACTTATATATAAACCAGAAATAGATTCACAGACATAGAAAATAAACTTACGTTTACCAAAGGGGAAAAGGAGGAGGGATAAATTAGGAGCTCGGGATTAGCAGATACAAACTACTATATACAAAATAGTTAAACAAGGTCCTCCTGTAGAGCATAGAGAACTAGATTCAAAAGCTTGTAACGGCCTCTAATGAAAAAGAGTATGACAAGGAATATATATATGTATAACTGAATCACTAAGCTGTACACCAGAAACTAACACAACATTGTAAATCAACCATACATCAGTTTAAAAAAACAGGAAAAAAACCACTCTCAGTCCAACAAAAACAAAGTCAAAAAATTTTTTCTATTAGATTTGCTAGACTATCTTTTGAGATACCCTGACTGAGAGTCGAGGTGGGTGGGATGGAAATTACTGCTGCCCTGGACTCACGCCCCTTTGCTGGACAGGACAACTACCTTGAGACACAACCAAGTCCTACCACCTTGCGCATGACGCCAGACCACAGCATCCCACGAGGATGGCTTGTCTCATCGCACCTAGAGACAGGACTTAAGAAGCCAGATGGCTCACCACGGCCAGCGACCACCCCGAGGGATTCTGAGATGAGGCCCAGGCTTAAACTCTGTCGGTCCTCTTGTCAATCACCAACCCTCAATGGAAGAGTAACACGCTGTGTCTGACTTCTTAGCCTTTGTGGGTTCATCGGGAGGACATGATGCTTACTTCAGCCTTCTGAGGTCACTGGCGCCATCCTTGGGGATGAGGAAAGGAAGATGGCAAGTGGGAGTGAGCACAGAAGGGTGTAAGCACTGCAACATGGACGCAAGGAAGAGGAGGCGCAGGGGGGTTCGGTGGGAAGCTGGAATGACAGCCCAGGTCAGCTGCTGTGGTTGACTGGAGCCGACCGCCCCACCTGGGACTTGGCTTCCATGAGGCGTGTCCCACGGAGGACACTGGCACACGTGGGGCTTGGCCATCATTAAAATTGGTCAACGATGAGTTTACTGTCTAGGTTTGTGGGTCAGTCCAGACAGGCACTCACTACTGATCACTATTCATCTATCTGCTCATTCATTCCATCAACATTCCTGGGCACCACCAGAAGGCGAGAAGGACAGGTGTTTGGTTTGCCACACTGAGTCCCATGTTGAGTCTTGTGGGAATCCGGCAAATAGGAAGGAGAAAGTGGTTTGGGGGCTCTTCCTTAGGCAGGATTCAGAGCAGAGCACCTCCTTTCTCATGTTTGTTTAATGTAATGACGTCAGCCCACCCCGACTCCAGCAGAGAACCAGACTGGATAAGAGGTCATGTGAAATCCAGGATGAAGGAAAACACAGCAATTTCAAGTTTATCATGGTTGTGACCCGCTGCCAAGCTGGGTCTCCTGTCCCCTCTGTCAGGGAAGCAGGCTGGGTGTATGGGACGGCCAGGTGGCCACCTGCTTCTGGAAGCTTCTGATGCTTTCGGGAGAACCCTGGGGCTGTCTAAGCTCTTGCTGTCTCATCTTCCCTTCTGTTGGTGTTTGGATCTTCCAGAGAAACAAACCATCAGTGTCTCCATTCCAGTCGGTTTGACTCCCTCCCCAAGGTCGGTGATGGACTCCCACCACCTGGACTCCCCTTAATCATGTTAATGACAACGTGACCAGCGGCTGGGAGGTGCATCGTTCCTGAGAATAAGTCATAACCGCTCCCTGACACCGGCTTCCGGGCCCGAGGTTTTGCTTCTGGTGCCCACTGCCGCCCCGGCAGGTGACTGTCACCACCCCCATCCACCAACAGATTAACTGCCCTGTTACCGAGAAGGGGCTACTCCGGCGGGGTGCTGACTGCTCTGCGCTGGGAGGGACCGGTCGGCCGCCCCCCGCTGCTCTATGTCACAGCCCGCTGCCATCCCACCGCTGTCCACAGCACATCCACAGCTCCCGCGTGACGAGGCTCGTCGGCAGCCCGGGAGGCGGCTCCCGTAGGCCCCGCTCGGCGCGTTAGGCAGTGGGCCAGTAGGCCTGCCTCCAAGAAGCCGCTCCATCTCATTAGCTTCTCCCTGTCCTGCGAAGAGCGCGGTCATCTCATTTAGGCTACGGCAATCAGGGCAGAACTGCCTGCAAGTGTGATTTCGGAGACTAGGGACAATGCTGCTCTGTGAACCGCAGAGTTTTACAGCAGGGCCGATGCCAGGATGGGAAGAGGGGTTTATCCAGCCCAGAGGTTTGGGTTCTTGCTGTGCTGCTCGGCGGGGGAAGCGGACGGGTCCTTCCAGGTGTCAGCGTTCGCGCTTCAACAACCTCCAGGAAGCTCTTCTCTCGGCTTCACAGCAAAATAGAACGCGTGCCGGGAAGAAGCAGGAGATGCATTTCGCTCCGCTCTGATCCTAGCAGGGGCTTTAAAGTCAAACAGGCTTTGAGAGCCAAGAAATCGTTTTATCTGTAAAGTTAACCAACTGGGTCTAAGACGAAGGCTGAAATGCCCGTGGTGTCTGGGCGTCTGTGGGTGGGTGGACAGGGAGACACTGCTTCGAAGTTTGTTACTGATCTGACTATTCATCTGATTTTCAGTGGTTCACTCATTTTGTTACCTGAAAGGAAGCTGGGGAGCCAAACCCACCTTTAAGGTGCTCACCTGGACCAGCCTCTCTGTGTGCCCTCCATACCTGGCTAGGAAGATGCCAGCACCTGTACTGCCCTGCCCTCCCTTTTCTGCAGTCACCACTGTCCCCTGACCAGAGTGCCGGCCGTCCCTATCTGCCTGCCACCTCCAGCACCACCTCCCACGGCCGACTTCCTTGCAGGAAGGCTCCAGATGAACACAGGCTGCACATCCCTCCACCGCTCCCCTGGAATCCCCTCCCTGCTTTGGTGACCAGCTGTCCCTGCTTTCCCTGGCCTGAGACTGCCGCCTGGACAAGGGACTGTCACCGCTACCACTGGGAAAGCCCCTGGCTAATGGGGCCGAGTTGACTGCCCACCTCTCTACCCCTTGGACTCCCGCCACAAAGCAGACACAAATGTCCCCTCTTCCATGCAGCCCAGACAGCGGCTGACCGAGGACTGGAATGCATGTCATTCTGATGCCCAAAGCCATGCTCCTTCGGCCCCACAGTTCCCACACCCCCGATAAGCAGATGGTCCTGCTGCATTAGCAGGACCACTGGTGTGGCCCCACGTGGTGCTGATGTGGGTGACTGACGCCTGGGATACAGGTCTATTGCAAAGTGCCTAAGCTCTTGGCCAAGCAAATATGAGAACATCAATCACATGCTGCTTTACATAGAAATTACATTTTAAAAATTTAATAACCACACAACCTCCCTAACTTCTTCCACTCTGTTGTGAGAACATTCCTGCCTCCCAGCCAGTGGCTGCCTACCCTGGGAAGGCCTGGAGATTTGTTGTCTGGGTTCCCCAAAATGATATAAAAATAGTGAAGGCCGTCAATTGTGAGTGATTAATTTCAATAGCAAAAATAATGGCTGTAACTGCAATCGAAAGAGACATGCTTTCCTCTTTGATTACTCTGACCCTGTGGGCCACTGTGAACACAAGGGCATTAGAATGTGAATCAGGAAATGCAGGCGGAGAAACAGACGCTCGTCGCCGGGACCCTGGCTCTGCCGTCTGCCCGACGCTGCCCACTGCTGTCCACTCCAACCCTCTTATCTTCCGCACTGTGACCTGAACATCCCCCTGTCCAACAGGAAGCATCTCACTTCGGCTTCAAAGCTGGCTCTCCTCCTCGAGCTGCTGCCAACGGAGACACATCCTGCTTTGGACTTTTCAAACACTGCCCTGAGCGATTTTCAAGCTCTGCGTGACCATCGGCAGCTGGGTGAGCTGGCTAAGTGGCTAGATCATGATCCCCATTTTACAGATTGTGGGGTAGGGACTCCAAGAGGGTGACATGCTGGAGCAGCCAGCAGGCAGGAGGAGCAGCAGAAGCGCACGTGTCCCTCTACACCCTCCATCCCAGCCCCGCTGCTCTGGTCACTCCTGGAAGCCTCCAGGGCCACCTCCCCTGCTATTCCTCCTCCCAGGTCGTCCTCAGGCTCCGGAGGCCGCTCACTGCCCCCTCTTACCCTCTCCACCCGTCATGCCCCAGCCTCAGAGCCACTGCACTGATCAGCCCTTTGGATCTCTGCAGGTTCCTTGTTCTCTGACAAGGGGTACGTCCTAAGGTCTGGGACAGAGCCCCAGGGGCTGACCGAGGAGGCCAGCCAGTTTTCACTGCTTGTGGTCCTGCTCAGAAACACTGTCCCTCTGTCCCTGCTCCCTGGGAAAGCTGGGCCAAGGGGTGGAGTCATGACAGAGATGGGAAAGCAGGGGAACTGTGTGTGTCTACCTGCTCCCTGGGTGCCCCAGGATACCTCCGTGCTCCCAGCTCCTTCACGAACCCTGTGCTCCCAGCTCAGAGCTTTCTGTCCATGGAGGACAATGGGACTCTGGCCCCAGTTGGCTGCAGTTTTAAAGAAGTCTTTTTGGGCAGCACTCAATAAATATAAGCTTTTATTCATTTTTTAAATAGAGGTATAGTTAACATATAACATTGTATCACTTTTATGTGAAAAGGAGTCCAAGTTTTAAGCTAAAGGAATGCATCTCCCAGTGAGGACATTCTGGACCTCACAGGGGAGGGAGTCATGGAAGAGAGAGAGCTAGGGCTCTATGCTGAATGTGGCAGTGCAGACTGGCTGGCCGCTGTGGGCTGTTGGACAGGCAGGACTGGGGGGGTGCTCAGGGAGCCTCTGGCCTTCCTGGCACCCCAGAACCATACAGCTAAACAGACCCCAATCTTCCCTTTACCCAGACGGTTCTATTTACATCTCTTTAGCAATGCCGTGTCAACGTCCAAGCACTGTTTATCAACACGTGGTCAGTAAAGACATCCTCTTCATGATTTGTTCAAAGTGTAGCAGCTTCTGTGTTCTGGCACCAACCAGTCTGCCGCTGGCACAGATCCTTGCTGGATTACTGGGGTCTGAGAGAGCTTACTGAAGCTGCAACTGTTACGTTAAGTTATTCTGCACAAAGGTAGGAAAGGTCTGACCAGGAGACAGGTGATACGTAGGGCCTGACGCCTGGTGAGAATCCTTTTGTCGGTTTCAGTGATGGAAAGAGAAGACTCTAAACTTTCAGCCTGAATGAAACTAGTTTCTGGGTTTTTTGTTTTTTTTTTAACCAGGAAATCCTGACATCTCCATTTCTCAGTTTTGCCTCTGCGTCTCTGCCTCCCGTTTGCTCCTTTTCTCTCTTGATTTCTCCCTCCCGACTGTCCTTTTCTTATTGTAACAGAGATACGAAATTCATGAAAACTCTTTGCTTTATTTATTTTTCATATTTTTCTTAAGTTACAAAAGATGAATGGACTATCTTTCTTCTTCTGTCTCACAAAACACACCCAACAACTCCATCAGGCAAGATCAGCGGTACGTGTGGTCCCTGCCCGGGATTTTGCCCACAGTGACCTGCAGCGTCCTCAGGTCAGTTTCTCCGCTTGATGGGGACACCTGTAAGTTTGTTCCAGAGGGAGTCCAAAGGCTTGAGACTTGCTCAGACATTATCTCCAAAAGGGGAATGGAGATGATGATACAGCCAAGAAAAGAGCAGTTTGTGAGAAGTCGGCTTGAGGACCATTGGGAGGAGTTGGGACCACTGTTCAAGGAGCAGGCACCTGTCACTGGAAATTCCCTGCTGACTGCTTCCGTTCCCACTAAGCCAGGTTCTGCAGACACTATCGGGAACTTACTTCTCAAGAACTGACCCTACCTGGCAAAGCTAGATAAAAGCCACCCTCCCCACCACACTCATACACGCTCATGCACTCCGCCGTGAAAGTCTCAAAATCTAAAGAGGCCCCTGTGTCCGTGCCTTCACATCCACGAGGCACAGAGACATCCCCAGAGCCCGGGCCCCACCGTGCACTTCTGCTCAGGTGCATGGATGAGGATCAAAACCCGCTATCTCATCACCTTTGGAGAATGACAGCTTACGTGGTGACCCTGAAATGAGTAATTTGCATGGAAGAGTTTTCAAAGGCTGAAGTCACATTCAGAGATTTGTATTTAGTATTTCTATTGGTCAATGAGAATTTTAAAAAATATATATGGTTATTGAAACGTGTTCAACATAACATAGGGGACAAATGGGTTCTTTCCAAAAGCAACACTGGAAAAAGAACATGAATTGGGTAATTCTGTATCTTTCATAACGAGGCAGAACTTGAAGGATGTCAGAATGTGCAGTTCACCTTAAAGTTCACGTCATTAGAAGTGATGTTCTTTCCAGAGGTGACAGCCTTGATTTGCCTTGTCCAATGGGCAAACCCTCATCATTTCCAGCAGTAAGCATTAATTTTTTCTGTTACAACAATGCAGAGAAAGTGCTGTATAGTTCTGCTGCACAGACTGAATTCCCACCAAACCATGGCGAAATGCCTGGAGCACTGACATGATTACTTTTTTTTGGTTATCATCAAGCCCACAAAAGACAATTTTTCTAGACCACACTTATCTGTGCCTTAGATTTCATGTGTCAAATTGCAGTAATTTCTTAGCAGAGTGAAAAATATTCACTGCTCAAAAATAACACTGGATGTGTTTCTTTCTTTCTCCCCCAACCCCTTTCTGAGCAATCACTAAACTTCAAATAGCCACTGGTGAAGAGCCTCCCCCCAACCCCGCTGTCAGATGAAAAAAACCAGCAAAAACAAAGTCTTCAACTAGCAGGAAAGATGACAGCATACACTGCATTTAAATTCAAGCAACAGAAACAACTAGACTGTGTATTTCATTCTGCCCAGGGCTAAGGAAAATACCTTAGCAAATAAATGTATCCTAGAAACAGGGTAGTTTTTCTTTCTTTCCCACTAGTCTACATTCTTGTGAAAGGGGACTTACCCCCTAAAGTTGGGGTATATGAAAAAAATAAAGGGACAGGATATTTTTCAAAGGGAGTCACTCCAATGAAATGACACAATTCTTCAGCATAGCACTCCTTCGAGGTTACCTAGAACACAAGGACCCCCTCCCTCACTCCCAGTCCTGAAGTCCTGCCACCAAGAATCTTAAGCAATTGATGGGCTGCGTTTCTAGGTGCTCCCAGAATTCCTTGTTGCAACTGTGTACCATTCCCCTACCCAGAAAACGTTTGCCACGGGTCGCCCCCATCGGTCTAGGCAAGGATTCGGATACTTTAAGGAACTGATGTAAGAACTCCATGGGACTGAGAGGTTGTTCTCCCGAGGGACATGGTCAGCAGCTGAGGGCAGAAGCTGTCTGTGTGGGCAGGTCATCACAGCGTGACCATGTAGCGAGATAGGGAAGGGGCTCCGCTGGTCCCGAGGGAAGGGTGCCTTGCTCCCCTGGGGAGTGAGGGTGGGAGGGGCAGCACCCTGGATGGTCCTGCAGCTCTCTGGGAGTCTCTACATCATACCCCAAGCCCTCACACGCAGTTCTGACAGGCTCCCGGGTGGAACTGGCGGTGCCAGAGGAGTGAGGGCTGCGGTGTGGGCCACAGAGGCAGCGGCACCTGGGGGGCCTGTCAGAAATGCAGATTCCTGAGCCCGGCCCAGGCCGAGAGGTGTGGCCCAGCGCTCTGTGTCCCACAGCCTGTGTCTCACAGCATGTGCGCTGGAGTCTGAGCAGCGCCACTCGGAAGGGGTCCGGGGCGGGGGCAGCATCTCTGTCACCTGGAAGCTTTCTAGAAGTGCAGACGCTCAAGTTCTACCCCAGATGCTCTGAGTGAGGCTGCACTTTAACAAGATGCCCTGGTGACTGGTCTGCTCTTGAGAACTGCTTCACGATAGCACTGACAACCCTGGGTTTAAGCTGGGGATTCCCGTAAACCTGAGGGGTGGCTGCAGGCCAGTGTATCTTGGCCTGTCTGCAGCCTTGACCCCCAAGGCAGCCGAGATGGCCTTCCGCCAGCGTGCACACTGCTCAGTCTGAGCCTCCCTGCCAGGTTAAAACCTGGTCCAAGAGGGTCACCTGCATGCTTGGCTACATGTCTCACCAAGCACAGCCCCGTCAGCCCTGGCACCCAGCTAATCAGGCCACCAGGCCACCAAGCCACCAGACCAGCAGGCCAGCAGACCTCTAGGCCTCCAGGCCACCAGACAGACCGCCAGGCCTCCAGGCCTTTCACTTGGTTTTTTCCTTTCTTTAATTAGAAGAATAATACATCTATTGTGGGAAAGATAAAGTGAAAAGAATAAATAAACAAGTCCTCTAGAATCTCATCACCCAGAGAGAACCATTATTTACATTTTAGTGTATTTTCTCCTGGTCTTCTTTTCTATGCATTGTTAGAATTCATCTTTTTCTTCACTTAATATTGTTTTAGGCCTTAAAAGTGCCTTGAAAACACAATTTTAATGCCTATACTCAACTGAAGTACCAAAGATTAATAACTTTTTTGTACTTATGTTAGACATTTGGGTCACTTAAATTATTTTCCATATATGCATAAAAGCAGTATATTCATTTATTTCCTTTGGACGGAGTCCCAGAAAGCGTAATTAGAGTAATTGCTGAGTTACATGGTTTAAGTATCTGGGAGGCTTTGGTTACCTGCTGCCATTTGCTTTTCAGAAGGTTTTCAACAACTGAAATTCTCGTACCTCAGGGTGGCCCTCTCGCCGCGCCCTCACCAGCTTTGAATGCTGCTGTTGGTGGAATATTCGCTGACGGGATGAGATAGTCTGTCCCTGACCTTTCCCGCTCCCTGCGGGGGTGCACGAGCCCCTCGCTGCAGAGAGAGGCTGGGTGCAGCCCTCCAGCCAGGGCAGCTTTACTTTCTCCCCCCGCCCTGGGTGGCCAGTGGCCGGCCACATGCAGCCTCCTTCTCCGGGGTCTCCCCGCCCCCCAGAGCACACCGACTGCTTCCCGGCCGGCTTGGCCCTGAGGAGCTGACCTTCAGGACAACGTCAGTGGCGCCCGCGGCAAATCAGAAGACGTGTTCTCGATTTCAGCCCCCACTCACCTGCCAGCCGGATGTCAACCTGCACCCTCAAGGCGTTGCGGAGGGTTCCGCCCCCTCGGGGTTCTCCCCGAAAGCTCCGCACTGGACTTGAGAACGGACGGTAGCGCCCGTGCCCCCATCCCCGCGCCATCTCCCTACGGGAACCCTCCGCCCCAACCTCACAGGGCACCCCCTCGCGCCCTCGCAGGGGGCCGAGCCAGGCGCTGCAGGACCACAGACCCGCCCGCACCTCCTTCTGGAATGAGGGAGTTACTGAGAGAGGCACTCGTCCGAACGTCCCGCGACACACGGCTGTTACCTAGTTACTCCTCTCCTCCTAAAGCCGGACCTTCTGGGGGACGCCAGCTCGGAACGCCAGCCTGCCCTGCCTCCTCTCAGGCGCCTCCCGTGGCCGCTGGAGCTGGACGTGCCCACATCTCGCGAGAGAGCAGGCGCTGTCATCGCGAGACGTGGGCAGGTCTCCCGGGTGACCCAGGAGGAGCCGCCAGGAGGGACCAGGACGAGGGGTCGGGGCGCAGGCTCACGGAGGCCAGCTGGAGGAGGGCTCTTACCTCCTGTCGACACATACAACCAACAATCAATCAGTAAGAAGAGGAGGAAGGAGTTTTGTTTGAGCCCAAACTGAGGACTGGCCTGAGAGCCCACTTCTCAGATGGCTGAAGCGTTGCTCCGGAGAAGCAGGATTCCCAGTAGTTTTGTATTTTGTCAGAACAAATACTTATTATTAAGTCAGGGATATATTCCTTCAAGGTCTTCAAAAAAAAGACAGACCAGCTTGTACAGGGTGAGTGAGCGTGGCCTCCGCACCCGGGGAGGGGGGTCTCATCATCAAAGGAGGACCAGCACTGGCGTCCCGGGAAGGGCGGCATTTAATCTGGATTTTTAACATGGACTTTCTTTACTTCCGGTCAGCGTGCTCTTTTCTCTAATAATTAAAGCAGATGTACAATGTATGTTTGATAGGCCACAAACAGGCTGCTTTAGTTAGCATCAAATTCAAGTCACCTTGTGTATAAGCAAGAATGACTTACCTATATCTCAGAACATGAAAATTTCTGTTATCACTGTCCTGCAGTAACCACTGGAAAAATGGAGCAGCCGTTGGCCGTCGGGTCTAAACGGCCATCACCTTGGAGAGGGACGCAGTAGAAGCTCTTTCCTGGCGGCAGAGATCATGAGAAACAGAGGTGACAGCCAATGACCCAGACCCTGCTGAAGTGTCCCTAAGTGTGACAGGTGTGCTTCTGAGACCCTGACAAGGGTCTAACAGTGGAGATATCTATTTTACTGCCCCGGTAGCTAAAAACGATACAGAATATTGTTAGGGATGTGTCTTTGTTCTGTACTATAACTACCCCGCTCTGAGCCACGTGGAGTGAATGCTCTGCTCCAGCCCCTCCCAGATGACATCAGGCTTTTATGCTGATGGTCATTATCAGAGGACTATCGGGGGTGGCGGCAGCGGGGGAGGGGGGCAGGGATCTCTGTACAAACTTCCCTAACACCAGACGTCACCGGCTCACTCAAATGTGAAATGTAAACCTGAGTCCACAGAAGATGCCCAGAGCCATTTCCACTGATGGACAGAGTCTAAAAAACACACAACTAAGCAAAGAAACTCTTATGGGAAACAGGTACAGAGACTCGGTTGCTTGCTCTGGTCGCTGCATGTGAATTTCTTTCTTTATAGGAAGCAACGTTCAATCCAATTAAAAACATTTAAATAAACTAATTAAAAGAGAACGTCGAGCCCTTTCAGTGGCTGAGTCACACCTCGACAGGACCCTGAAACAATGTTCTGAGTGATCATTATTTTTTACCGAAAGGAGTTTTCCTTGTAGTTATGTCGCTCCTTTTTTTTCTTCAAAATTCTCAAAACAGTCCAGGGAGGTGTGTTTTATTTACATTTTACATGGTGTCAGGTTTATGCTTGACAATGATAATTCTTTGAATCACTGTGTAATTCTCTCAGCAAAGAGTGATGCTGAGTATAACACACGCTGGAATGTAGCAACATGTTAAAGATTTGTAGATCACTAAGTCATTGAAGCCAGCATCATTGGAAGGTGTAGTTCTGCACAGAGGTGTTGGGGTGGCCTTTCATGAGATGCAGAAAATCGTGGTCAGAAGGTCAGGCTGACGACTGCCCCCATTGTGAAAGGTGAGCCCGAAGGCAACTGACCGCATCAGAGGCGATGTGAATCTCCATCTGGGCCAGATTTCACCCCCAGTCCTTGCTTTGAATTGCCGAGACTCTAAGAGAAGGTCTGACGCGTCACGTCCCTCGGGACACGGACCCCGGAGCAGGGAAGGGTGCTGTTCTCACCCCCAGGACACATTCCCAAAGAGGGAGTCACTGACCTGGGGGTGTCACTTAGCTGCTGGTGTAATGCCCTCTGTGGCCGACTGTTCTGTTGTAAATCACTCTGGATGTCTTCACTTTATTTCTCTTTCTGACATAAATTTTGCTTTCTTGAAAGTTCTATTCCTTGGCCCTACTGACATCAACTCCAAATATAGGTCGACTTTGTCTTCAACTATTTTCAAAATCTTTGAGGCCAGCCAGAATGGTGCAGTATTTTCATTTTCAAGCTTAACACGTGGAATTTCCCCAAATTTTCTTCCCATGCCAGGGGTCCTACATGTGCTTTGTAATCAGACAGTCCTGACTCTGAAGACCTTGGGCGAATGACCAAGCCTCTCTGAGCCCAGCTTTCTGTTTTGTAAAACGGGGTTAGTCTTGCTGGGTTGGCTGTTTACTGTTGCCAGCGTCACGGGTGGAAAAGCATTTATTTTGGCTCACGCTCTGCTGGGTGGTTCTTCTGGTTTAGACTTCCCTTGGCCAGTCTCAGCTGGGCTTGTACAGTGGGGGTGAGGTCGGCTGGCCGGCTGGCTGCCTACTGGTGAGTCCACGGTGGCCTCATTCGTGTCCAGCTGTCGGCCGTGATGGGGTGACTGGGCTACAGGTGTCTAAGGCTGGCCTGGGCTCGTTCACGTGGTAATGTTTCAAGAAGCTTCAGTGCCTATGCCTTCTGAAGTCCCTGCGATGTCCCATTTGCTCACTTTCCAGTCACCGAAGTAAGGACCACAGTCAGCGGGACCCCAGGGGTCGGGGGAACTGGACTATGCATTTCTGGGGAGGCTGGAGAATTGTGAGTGTCTGTCCCGAATGTCAACCACACAGTAATGGCACAAGGATTGAATGAGAGACAGAATGCAAAGGACAGAGGCTGGCGCACAGTAGGTGTGCAATACAGCCTGGTCTTCACCTTCATTACTGCTCAGTGGGGGGGCCCTGCCAACCCCGGCTCCACAGAACCCACCTGTCAGGGATGGTGATGGGATAAATTAGATGTAAAAATTGTCTGGTAAAACTCTACTAGTTCCTTAGAGACACACAGGATGTAAATTTAAGGTGTTATAACAGGATGACAGCTTTCCCGACCTGGCTGGGACTGCAGAATCAAAACTATCAAATGTTACAGACCGTCCATTCTATTTCTACTATCAGATACTGGATAATAAATTCAAACGCAGAGACAGAAAAGAAAAGGCAGGATGACCCCTTCCCTACCAACTGTGTCAGTTGAGGATTCAGGTCTAAATCTGGAGAACTTCGTACCTTTTTCCAGGGGGAAGAAGTGACTTAATAGTTTAGATCCATATATAAGGGTTTCTGCAAAGATGGTAAAAATTGCCTATCCATGGAGCTCATCTGATCCCTCCTGGGTAAACTTTATTGAATGAAATGTAACGGTGATCAGTTTTAGCCAAACTAGAATTTTTCCCCGTTTCTTTCCATCGTGTCTGTGTACATATCTTTCTTTTTCTCATCTATTTCAAAACATGATTTAAAAATATTGAAGTAATATTTCTCTCTCCCTTTAAAGATGCTTGTTCCAAGCTGACAACCTCAGGGTTTTTATCCCCCACCCCCAGCATTTAATCTGTAATTTTGTAGGTTACACTCATTTGCAGATTTTAGAAAGTGCCTTTTATTCTTCTCTAAGTGTTAAAGCAATTTAGATTAATGGGCCTCGGACTCTTTGATACCCACTTTTAAAGCATTTCAAAAATGTGTGGAAGACGGTTTCCTTTCATATGTGATAAGTAAAAATCTTGGCAGATGAAAGGCTTTTTTTTCCTTTTGTTTTTGCACAAAAGAAATCTTTGGAGCTGCGGAAATGCTGCAGAAAAACCGCAGAATTCCATATTGTGATTTTCGTTTTTTCCTCTCCTGTTGGGAAGGCTGCCCTGTGCAGCTGCTCACAGGACGTGGGAAAGGAGGCAGCGTGGGGCCAGGACCACAGAGAGAGGACCAAGCGGGGTCAAGGCCGCTGCTCCCTGTGAGCCCCCTGCCCTCTGCACCAGAAATGAGATGTTCACAGAGCCTGACCCTCCCCTTTGCGCTCCCTCCACAACACACCACCACGTCCTGAGGACCAAGGTTCTCTGATGAAGGCAGAGACCCGGCCCCTCAAGGTAGGCTCGGCTGATGGAAGCTACGAGAGGCAGGGCCTCCGTGCAGCCCCCCGAGCTGGGAGCAGGGCCACGCGGGGTGGAGGAGACGCCCACAGCTGCCTGCCCCTCCTCTGATTAAGGACTGTTGGATCCCAGGTCCCCACTGCACTTGAAGGGGGCTCACGGGAGACCTGGCTGGACCATGGACATAGGGCAGGCTTTGTGTCTGTCTGTGTTTGTGTGTCTCTGTTCCTGTATCTCTGTCTGGCGGGAAGGATGGCTCAGGGCGAAGAGAAAACACGGCAGAGATGTCACATGCTGTGTAACTGCACTTGGTCAGAGACTCATCCTTTTCCTTCTCTTTGATTGAGACAAACACCAGGATACGGTGGATTGCAATTTGGTGCCAATGTGAGCAGAAACACTGCAGCCAGACATCAGAGTGGCTGTCATCAGCAAAGACTGAGGGGCTGCGTGCTGGGAGGGGAGGTGTTCTGAGGGACCTTGTCCCCTCCCCATAGCTCAGCGCCTTGCGCGGCCTCCCTCTGTCCGCTGAACCATGGTGTGAAGAGTCACAGGGCTGCAGAGTCAGGCAAGGTCGCTGCAGAGGTTCCTGATGGTGACACCACCAGGGACATGCCTCATTGTTTTGACCTCCAAGGATATCACGTTTTGGAAGATGTTGTTTATCACATGGCACTGAGTTAACGTTAAAATGCAAGACACTCTGGGACCCTCCAAAGTGTTGAAAATCATCACAAGGCACCTCATTTTTTAATCTTCAAGACCTCAGGTGCAATTTTTCCTTTGATGTGTATCAAGAAGACATAAAACATTCTGGGTTGTAGAAGTCACAGCAGCTCCACGCATCTGGACCCCCCCCCCCCGGAAACCGCTGCAGGACACCAGGGAGGGGCGGGGGGGGAGGACGTCCGAGCCGTAAGTGACCGTGAGTCGGAGAGGAAGCGCCCAGCCCCAGCGGACTCGGCCGTGCTCCCACCTCCGGACTCCGGAAGCGGGGCGCTGGGAAACCCAGTGGAGGAGGGACGTGGGAGCCTCGGGGGGCCCCCCAGAGGGACCCCAAGTCACTGAAGTGCAAAGACGCCGCGTGACTGAGTGCGACCGGAGGGGGCAATCTTCAAAGGGCGTCGCTTCCGGGGGAGAAGCTGTACAAGGAGGAGGATGGCTAGCGCGGAGGGCAGAGGCCACGGGCGGAGCCGCCGCCGGGCTCGCGGGGCGCGGGGGGCAGAACGCGCAGGCAGCCCCGCCC